GGGCGGCGCCCTGTCAGTGGTGCAGCAGGGTGCTAAGGCAGGCTTCCTGCCTGTCCTACTGCCATGGACCGGGCTGTGCCCCGGAAGCGGCCAGCGGCAGGTCTGGCTCCTAGGCGGAGGTGCCCAATGGCTCCGCCCGGCTCTCTCCTGCAGGCATCGCTCCCCACCGCCCCTCAGCTCCCATTGGCTGGGACCTTTATTCAATATTAATCATATAAGTGGTACTATGCAGGTAAGTAATTTCTGAAACAGCTTTATTTCATATTTGCCTGGTGATGCAGCAAAACCGTATGAGCATCCTGAGGGTGGAGGCATCCCCACCTATTTCTGAGTCAAAACACAAATATAGAATTACTTCCCATTCCTGTCCATCTAAACTGCACATTCCTGAATAAAGCCCAAGTCGTCTCACTGATGGATGTTCCCAGATTGCTTTGCAACACGATTCTTGAATAAGCAGGTTAATTGTATATTGTCACTGATCCAGCACGGAACTTGAACTAGTTATTAAAGCTAATTTTGAGTAGACCTATTCAGTGGGGGAACGTCTGACATTTCCATCAGCGAAGGGTGGCCCCAGCAAATTTGTTCCAGAGAAAATAAAATACTTACGACCACAAAACTCTCCATTGGTTGACCACTCGGAGTGTGACTGACTTACCAGGGTTTTTAACAGAGACACGAAAGCATCCGTCTGGCCCTTCTCTGCCATTAGTATCAGGGGGGACGTCACGACGGCGCCTTCCATGGGTCCGACAACCTATCAGAAAAACGTAAGAACACACTCATGTTAATAGGAGAGAGATTTATTTTAAATAATTTCACACAGCTGCCTTTGTTGTAAAGGATCCTAACATGCCTTAGATGCTACGAGGACCTGCCACAGGCCAGGTGAGCCCCGTTGTGGGGGTTCCTCAGGTTTTCCAGTACCCTATGAGAACAGACAAGCCTCCCACAACCAGGGGTTTAAACTAAAGGCGTCTTCACGGCTGTGCTAGGTCAAGTTCTCCAAACAGGTATTAGCCGAGCGACAGCGACCGCGCTGCACAATAACGGTGGAGGTGCAGAGTGATTGGATTAGCAGCACAGAATAGCTGAGTCCCCACTGCATGACGAGCTCCAGCCTAAGCAACTCTCCAGCTCCCACCCACACTCCAAGTGGGCCAGATTTTGAACCCAAAATTCTAGACTTTTAGCAAATCCAAGTTCTTCCAATTTACATGAGGAAGCACCAGCTACTTCTGCTCCTTTGGGAGGGACAGTTGTGGGTTTGGCAAGCTCCAAATCTGTTTGGAGCTTGCCAAACTAATGTTTAGGAATCTGCATCTTTAGAGAAAAGACAGACTTATCCCACTTACACATTGTCACAGTGAGAGCCCAGTTGGGCTACCCTGCAGACTGCTGCTGGGATCCCATTCCTATATTCCAGGGGAAGCCCATAGCAACCCCTACATTGAGCTGCCTAACACTTTCCTTTCTCTCTCTCTTTAAGAGCTCTAACAGTTCCGGGGTTTGCAGCAAGGATGTGAAAGGCTCATCAAAACTTCCTAGGGGGACTTCTAAGACCCCTGAACATGCTGTTCTCAATGACCATTCTCTGCAAGGTGTTACCATGTGCAACTCAAAACTACGCATCTCCATCCCACACATCATAATATCCTTTGGCCTAGGAGAAGGTGCACCGTGTTGGGAACCAGGAGATGAGGAGTTCAACTCTCATTATTTCTACTGACTGGTGTTAACAATCCTGTGCCCTTCAAAACCCAAGTTAGCACTGAGCAACCCATCCTCCATGTATGAAAGTTACACAAGCTAGGAAGAGTACCCAGATCTCTAATATGGCAGACCCAAGTCTCATCCACTTAGCCTAACCGAAAGAATTTGCCAAATCTAAATACTTGGCTACGCGGTGTGTACAATGAGGTTATTCATGCATATATAATCCATTGTTTTAGTGTGTTGGGCATCCTCCTCTAGTGGTTGGTCCATATAACAATTTACTCCTGCTGCCACCTATTATAATTTCTTCTTCAACTTGACAGAGGTCTATCCTGCAGTACCTTAGGCCCAAGAGTCAAACCTCAATGACACATGGAAGTGGAGGACAGGACATTAGTTTCACATAGACTTCTTTTTTCTTTTTAAAAAGCCCAGAAGTAACATAAAACCCACAGCAGACACAAGTTATTAAAATTGCAAAG